ATGAATATAGCTGTAAACAAAATAATTTTGTGACACATGTATTTTTATAAAAATAATTATATAAAATGTGATATATTTGTTTACAAAATGAGTTTTCGTGTGATATCGTACAGATTCTTTATCTAGTTGATGTAACAAAAGATAAACTGTATTATGATACTTTGAAGATGAAGAGAACATGCTCAGTACAATTCTTGTAGTATATTTTCTCAATTTAAAGTGCCTGTAGAAGATGATGTAATGCGATCCTTGTTTTTCTGCATGACACGCTTAGGCCCATCCCATCGAAACCCGGTAGTGCAACAGGTCGTCCCGCGAGTTCTACTAATTTACAGGTTTACAAATCCTAGGTCCAATACCACCTCGTTATAAATTTTTACGGACCAGGGCCGCTGTGCAGATTGTGTATTGCCATCTCTACCATAAAGAGATTGAACCAGTCAGAAACCAAAGTTATAGAAAGTAGAGGCCGTATCAAAGAACAGTGTTCGTGATCAATATAGCAGAGGACTAAGAAGAGAAGCGGGACAAGAGAAAAATCTTCCAGATTCCACACAAGTATTCCGCTTCTTCCGCAAAAGGCTCGGCTCGGGGATCTAATTTTACAGTGGCACCGTTAGTCGAAACTATCCAGTAGGCCCAATAATGATGGCGTTGGCCCAAATATGGAAAACTTCGACAGTGAGAGTTTTATGAACACAAAACTATCCAGTAGGGCAATTAATCATAGTGTATCTTGTGTTACAGTTAGGCCTGGGCATAAATACCAGACCCTAGGACCCAATCTGGAACCGACCCAAAAAAACCGGGTTCGGGTGTATTATGTTCTTAAGAAATATCCGATTTTTTTCTCATCAGCTATTTTTAGGTAACGGTTCGGGTCGGTTAATAACCGATACTCAATTAAGTACCCGACTGAACCGAACCTAAACATATCTTCATTAAGTTATCTTCACGCCTCTTCATATTCGGCGACTCCTCTCGAGAACATGGATCTTCTCTAAGAAAGCGAAACCGAATCTCATAAACCCTAGCTCTGATTCTCTATAAATGGAGAGCCCTGATCGATGCAGTTCCTTCACGATTCACAGCAACACAATAACTCGATCTAAGGTTTACAATCCAAAATCCTAAGTTTTTTTCTTTCTGTTTTTTAATTGCTTCTTAATACTGTAGTATTTGAGTCTACTTTGATATAGCATGTGTTTGATCTTTGATTCCTGTGGGATGTGATAGATCGATCTTTCTTTATTTTTTTTCATGAATCACGGTTCTTAGTTAGACTCTATCACTAGTTCTCTTGGTTTTTTTTTATAACTTTAACTGATTCTCTTGTTTGTGTTTTTATTTTGTAGATGGCTTCATCAACAACTTCGAATGGAAAATACAATGCCGATCAAAGAGAGCAAGAGACAGAAGCAGATGTAACACAACAAGAGTTTATAACTCCTGATACTCGAGGAAAAAGAAGAAGTCCCCGGCTCAAGCAGAGGTACGTCTCAACCATCGAAGGCGACTAAGATGCCTAACTCACGGTCAAGTGTTTGGGAGCACTACACAAGGACGACAAACAATCGAGACAAATTCATATGTCACTATTGCAAGAAGAACTTCGCTTGTCCAACCAAATCAGGGACGTCCAACCTGTAGAAACATCTTAACACCTGGAAAAATTACAAAGCGTAGGAAGAGGGAAAGGTTCGTACTCAGCCTGCAATCAATGAAGATGGTTATCTGAAGGATGCCAAGGTTTCAAGGAAGCTACAAACCAGATGCTTGTCCTTGGTGAGATGCCATTTTCCTTTGCTAAAAGCTTGGCATGGAAGTGTTTCTGCAACAAAGTGAATCTGCCCAAGCCACACTCGAAGAGGACCACAACAAGACACATTGTTGAGATGTACGTGAAGAAGAAAGCTGCATTGAAGGAATGGTTCTCAGTTAACAAAGAGAGAGAGTTTCTTTTACAACTGACATATGTGTCGCTCAAGCTACATGTAGTGGTGCTAGAGTGTTAGTTATTTCTCATCTTATTATTTGTTTGTCTGATTTTACATATACGATTAAAGACTAACTTGTTTTTGTTTGGTTTCGTAAATTTGCTAGTTATATGGTGATCACAACTCATTTCATCGATGAATCTTGGAAACTGAAGAAGCTGATCCTTGGATTTAAGTACATCACAGATCACAAAGGTTAGACAATTTCAACAATTCTACTTGAGTGTTTAGCTGATTGGGGTATAGAGAAGGTTTTTTGTATCACTGTTGACAACGCAACTGCAAATACATTGGCTCTTAAGAAGTTTAAGAGTAGTTTTGGTTTGTTTGGTAATGATGCAATGGTTCTGTATGGGAGTTTTATGCATTTGCGTTGTTCTGCTCACATCATAAATTTGATAGTGAAAGAAGGATTAGCTGCTGTGTATGTAAATGTTTCTACTATTCCTAATGTTGTTTCTTATGTAAGATCAAGCACAACTAGACTAAGATCGTTTGAACTGAGTGTTGATTCAGGGAAGTTAACCAGAGGAAGTTTGCCTTTAGATTGTAAGACTCGATGGAATTCTACCTACTTGATGTTGTCAAAGGCTCTTAAGTTCAGGGTTGCATTCAACAAGATGGAGGCAGATGATAGGCTATACAATGATCACTTCTTAGAGTTTGAGAATGGAAGCAAACACGTTGGACCTCCTGCGATTGTTGATTGGAATGCCATTGAGAGGTTAGTGTGGTTTCTCGTTATCTTCTACAACTCCACCTTGGTTATATCAGCATCCACTTCTCTGAACTCTTTTAAGTGTTACAGTGAGATAGTAACAATAGAGAAGAACCTGATCGGATTGACCAATAGTTTAGACTAGGATTTGAAGGGTAAGGCTGAGGAGATGGTTAAGAAATTCGATATATATTGGGATAGTATAAGGAACATCAACAAGATGTTGATAGTAGCAACTATCTTTGATCCTAGGAAGAAGATGTAGTTTTCTAAGATGTGTTTCGAGAAATTCTATGGTAAAGATACCTCAGATGCTAAAGAAATGTTTTAGTCTGTCATGGAAGTCCTTCGCGATTTGTTTAAAGAGTACAGTGTTCGGTTTGGTACTGGTTTAGGCGTTCAACCATCTCAGGGCGACAAAATCCCCATCATGTGGGAGCCTAGAGCAGTCAATGTATGAAATTATCAATTTGATTGATGAGTTTGGGTATGAGAGGATGGATTGCATGTATGACGAGTTGGTTGAGCTGATAGAAGTTCGAGAAGCACAAGATAAGTTGGAAACTTATCTGAAAGAGAGTGTTGTCAATCCGAGAACCATGCTTGGAGTGGAATTTTATGTTCAGTCTTGGTGGAAGGTACATTGCTCCAAGTTTCCTATTTTTGCAGAGATTGCTCGTGATGACTTTGCCATCCAAGTCTCATATGTTGCTTCTGAAAGTGCATTTAACACTAGTGGCCGAATTGGTAACCCTCACATGAGTTGCCTAACTCACTATATGATTGAAGTTCTAATGTGTTATGAACAATGGATGAAGGCAGACTTTCGTGGCAGTGAAGGTAGAGTGATGACAAAGGAACAAATTCTCAGTGAATTTGAGTATGAAGACAAGATAAAGAGAGGTATATCACTCATAACTCATCAGTCATCACTTAAACTTTTCTATCATATTTTTTTGACAATGCTTTTCTTTATAACTTGTGATTCTCAAGCAACACAAGAGGAATGAGTCAAGGAGGAGCTTTGGAGTTTGGAGCAATGGAGGATGCGCTTTGGAGAAGTGGAGGATGTGCTTGGTCAGTTTTTCTTTGAAGTATTTTGGTGTTCTCTGTTTTTTCTTTGTTTGTTCAATTATTGTTGTTTCTTTATTGTTTTGAAAACTTGATTTGCGGCTAAGTTATCATCGGTGTATGTTTATTCCTTTTTCAACTATGGAATGAAATTTTCAGTTTAATTATTCAACTTTGTTTTTTGTTTGTATGATTAGTTTGGTTACTTTTAATAACCGAATAAGTACTTTGGGTACATTTAACCAAAGTAACTGTTATTACATTGAGTATTTAGTTATTTTTTGGTTTTTGAAACTTAGAACCGAATCCACCCAAACCCACTTATATCCTATTACAATGAGTATTTAGTTATGTTTTGGTTTTTGAAACTTAGAACCGAATCCACCCGAATCCAACCCAAACTTAGTTATTTTTTGGTTTTTGAAACTTAGAACCGAATCCACTCGAACCCACTTATACCCGACTCAAACTCAACTCAAAATTTATATATACCCGATGGAGTTTTCACAATGTAAACCCAAATAACCCAAAATCCAAAAGACCCGATCTAGACCCGAACGGATACCTGAATGCCCAGGCCTAGTTACCGTCAGAGCACTTATATTGAAGATTCTTTCTATTGAAATTCTTAATATATGCGTTATGTATATATGCATAAATAATTGTGAAGTCCACAATTATTGTGGAATCCCATAAATAAAGGTTCTTAAAAAATCTTAAAACCTTCTTTTAAAAATATTTATCTATGGGGTTACACAAAAACCGTGGATTCCACAATTATTTATAAATATATAATTAACATAACACATATAGTAAGAACTAGGCCCATCTCTAGAGGATGTCTAAGGTGCTTTTGCACTAGGCCCAGAATTTTTTTACCAATTTTTGTTACTATGTAGGGTCTGTTTTTCAAATTTAAGGCTCATTTTCAAAATGTTTTACATTATACTTGCACTGGGTCTAGGGAAATATTGAGACGGGCCTGTTAAGAACCCATTATACATGCACTGGGTCTAGGGAAATATTGAGACGGGCCTGTTAAGAACCCTAATGGTAAGAGCCTCACTAGAGGTGCTCTCATGCTCCTCTCTTACTCTTGAGTCGTCTTGTTGCTCTTTGTCTTTTTTTTTTTGTTTGGCACCTCTATGTGTTGAGCTCATGAACATAGACAAAACAAGAAACCTATCCAGCGTCAAGAAAGAGCTAGGGGTACTCAGGGATAATGATAACTGACGTCATTCAATAAAGAAACATCAAGACAAGGCTATGCAAACTAAACAGTTAAGAATCGTTCACAAATTCAGCGATATAAAAAGGAGAAACAAACTCAAGAAACAGGTAAGGTAAATCAATTCCCTCTTCTAGTTATGTTGCTCGTAAAGGTGTAGGCATTGTGTAACCAAGATCAATCAATTTCCTTATCAACATTTTCTCAGCTTTTGCCTACACAACAACAGAAACAGAGAAAAAAAATCAAAAAGAGTGTATTAAAACACTACACCAAAAGGAACGGAACACAAAGAAAGAACAAACCTCAAGCAAGGGATTATTTTTAGGGATGTTGCAAGCCAGGATTATATTGAGACCAGTCTTCATCACTAGAAACAGCACAAAAATCAGACAATTTTATTCACTCCACTGACATAAAATCGGACAATTACAAGATTTTGTTATGATCAGATTCTAACCTAATCTACGGGCAATGCCAGATCCAGTGTTATCAGAAGTTCCACCAAGTACGGAAGTAACACTTACTGTATTACTCTGATACAAACAACAAAACGTTACAATTAAGAACACCAAATTAGACATTCAAAATCAATGTTTTTGATGAACTAACAACTAACCGGTCGTGTTGAAGCGGCTGCGTACAAGTTGCCAAATTTGGCTGAATTATAACCGATCCATACATAAATCTACAGTCAGAACAAGGCCCACTTTTAGTTTTGATGAAGATGAACAAAAACTTGAGCATAGAGAAAACAAAAAAAAAAAAAAAAAACCTGTTTCGCGAGACGGATGATTTGGAAGTGAAGAGTGACATCATCGAGAACTTCAGTGAAGCACGAGACTTTTACACCGTCGTCGCCGGCGATTTTCACTTGAGCAACGGAGCGAAGAACTTGGTCGTAATCAGTCTCCATTGTCTCTGAGTCCAAGAAATGTAAAAACAATTTGTGTGTATTAAATTAAAGAAAGCCTAGTACATACTATTAACGATGAGCATATAAGATACAACCATTCGTGAATCGTGATGTTACAGTCAAATTGGAAATCATAAGTTCAACTCTTGATAAAGTAAAAACAAAAGCAATCGAGACTCACGAATCGCGTAAAGTAAACCCTTACCCGAGGAGAAGAAGACAAAAACGAAAGAAATAAGATAGTGCTCTCTCTCTCTCTCTCTCTCTCTCTCTCTCTCTCTCTCTCTCTCTCTCTCTCTCTCTCTCTCTAGACTTGTGCCGATGATTCGTTTCTGTATGTCTGCCGGCGAGAAGGAGGAGAGTCCAAAAAAACACCATCATTTCTTTCCTTCACCTTTGGGTTTGAACAAACTAGCAACTAGCCCAATAAACACGCCAGGCCCAAATGTGCATATCCGAGTTGTAATTTCACACCTCGCAACGAAAATCAAGCGGATAATCTTTACCAATTAAAAAATAAGTAGATTTTGATCCGCCTTTTGGAAGTGCGGTACATGTTTTGTTTCAAAATTTAGCATTATGTTTCTGATTCGATTGTTGTTTTATTTTATTTTTTGGTCTTTGAACTCGGTTTGGTTATGAGTTTTTGTTTTTTGATATAAAAGTTATGTATTTTGAAAATAAAATTTGTAATATGGAATATAAACATTTAATTATTATTTACTTAAATATCAATTTGAATAAAAAAGTTAGTTTCTCCCAATTTTTTTAATAAGAAACAATAATGTTCACAAACTATAAAACAATTAAAACTGAGCTCTAAAACTATAAATAATGTATCGGTCATTTGGGCTTAAAATCGAATACCATTTATTTGTGTTATCATTTAAAACTATAAATAAAGATTATTTAGGAAATACGGTGGAGGTTACACAATATGAATTAGCGTACAAAGTAATTATTATTATATAATGATATAAATAAAATTGGACTCAATTATTATCAATAGGGCATGATCCAGAATTAATAGTATTGACTTCAATTTTTACCAATCATGAAGAAGTTATAATAAGTCTATACTAGATTTTGATTCGCACGTTAAAAATTGCAGGATTTTTTTATTTTTAAAAATTCTATTGAAAAATATATAATTGTATTCAATATATATATATATATATATATTGTGTGTGTGTGTTTAAAATGTTTGTAAGCTATTTACACTTGTAGTTGCAAGGATTGTATTTGCTTATAAAATAGACTTGGAATATGATCAAAAATCATATAGAGTGTCAAAGTGTTGTGAAAAAAAATACTCTATAACTATAATGTGTTGATATTTTAAGTCTAAATTTTGTATTCAGAGAGAAATTCATTGGGTTTTAGACATACACTTTCAAATTTCTAAATAAATTTTGATTGGTAAAATTTATATTCATTTAATTATCTGTTTTGCTTTGGTCTTGATTTTTGTAATGATTAAATTATAAGGAGATAACCCAAAGCAGTCATAGCATATTGATGAAATTTTATTTTAATTTGTGTGAGTGAATCTTGCTCTAGATGAAATAATTGATAATTATAAAAATAAAATAAAAATAAATTTTAAAAATAAATATAAGAATAAATTCTTATCTCTATTTTTCGACTAACTGCTTAAAATAGTATTTTAATATTGTCTGTTTTTATTTTACCTTTATGTTTACGACATATTTTTGCGTCATTATTTAATAATTAAACATAAATAAATTCATTAAAGGTAAATTGAAACATACAAATTTTACCTAATTATTATATCTACATATTAGATTTCGAATTATGACTGCTCATCATACAATACGCAATTTCTTTTGAAAATATTAATTTCCTTAATATGCGCTACATTTATAAAAACTAAGCAAATGAACTTTATCATATTATTGATGTTGTATCTACAAAGCTAAAGATTTTATTTAATTTATAAACCTTTTATTAAAACACGAAAACTACTAACCTTATATTGAGTGATCTTTTACAAAATAATTGTTATCGCATATGTATAACATTGATTATATAGTTATACAAGAAAATAGTTGTTCTTAGTTTTTTTTCCAACATCCATTGAGATATTGTCTTCGTTATACAACTATATAATAGCTATAATATAAATATCAATCAATGCAATCGTGCTATGAATAAGATATGAATTAAATGATAATGAAATTATAAAATATGAAGTAAATATATAAGTTTTCATGTTTATAAATTGTTCCAAAAAAATCTTTACTTCATTTTAATCTAACTATATTTCAAAATACTAAACAACCGGTTTTATAGAGATATCGACACTATGAAAATAGTATTGAATCATTTTATTTAAATAAAAAATTATTTGACTTAAATGTCCAACCGATTTCACATTGTAACCTAAATAAAGTAGATTTTGTGCTGTAAAATGAGATATGTCAGTTTAAATAGATCCATAAATAAACTATTTAATGTTAAAAACACCTAACTAATAGAAATAAGTTGCTTATTTAAACTCACCAATTTAAAAAAGAAAGATACACGTAAACAAAATTACCTTCAAAAGATTTGTTTCCTTATTAAATGGGTGAACTTAATTTAAAAAAATAATAATAAACAATGGCATACTATTGTAAATAACTAAAAAGATCAAGGGCAGAATCCTATGAGGGATTCTGCTTTAATAGTATATATAATTAATACAACTTATTTAATTATTTACAATTAAATATATAAAATTTCTAGAAAATATTAATAGTTCATAAAAAGTATTATTTACCAAATCTGTTAAAAGAAATCTAATAAAATCTTACTATAAATTTAAATTTTTTTAGTAAATATATACATACTATTTTTATCTACCATAAAAATTCATACTAAGTTCATTTCACTATTATAAGTTATTTAACTATAACCATTAATAAATTAAATATATAATATTTTAAAAAATATATTAATAATTTATAAAATTATTAATAATAAATCAATTAAACTATAAAGTAAATACTATTTATATTATTAAAAGTAAATTTGTATAAAATAGGTCAATATATATATATATATATATATATATATTAATAATGTTGAATAAGAAACCTAAACAATAAGATTGTAGAGTTATCTAAAATATAACACTGTTGAAATATTTATTGTAATAATAAAATTATATTTTTATAAAATAAAATAAAACTCGCACGTACGTGCGGGTCAAAATCTAATGTATATATTAAGAACCTTGATTCATATATGATTTTTTTTTTAAATAGACCCTCTCTCTAGAAATCAGTTATCATTCTTTTTTCTTTCTTTTTTTGACATCAAGTTATTATTAATAATATGGCTTAATAATATACGATTCCCAATTTAACATCAAGTCTTATAAAAACAGACTGGCTAACAAACCCACATTTGACTCCTTAATAAATTATACATAGTGGTAATGTATCGTATACTTGCAATACAATTCTCATTTAACTAATTTAACCAATGTATATATAATTGTTGTATAAACATAAACCATTATACCAGTTCATATACTAATACATTTTTGTATTGTTCTAGAGTTCTGGTATGTTAGTATACATGTCGTTCATGTAATAAACAAAGCCAACTCGTATCAACAACATTTGTAGACAGACCATATAGCTCGTTCGTCACTTACACATTACTTATACGAGCTCGAGTGTTGAATAGAGTTCGATTATTTGAACTTGTTCACCTGAAAAGAACCATCAAAATCGTCTTATCATATCAACATCGAGTATTTAAACCAATATATGATATATCATGTGCTTCTATTTTATTCAAATCATTGTTTATCTTCAAAACCATTATATCAATATTTTAAAAAACTAAGATTATGTTACAACAATAATATATATATATATATATATATATATATATATATATATATATATATATATATATATTTATTTCTTATATCAAAACAACTAATTTGCCCAAAATCATATTACTTGAACGGGTTCAAAAACAATAATCTAAACATGGTGATCAAATTATAACTTACGTCGACTCCTTGTGTGTGTTTTCTAAATTTTTGCTATGAAATCTCAAAACAACTAAGAAGAATATCCTATAATATATATATCCGATATAAAAGCAAGATATCAATATCTACGATATAACTAACCATAACAACTTATTCAAAATATTCAATAATTAATATATATTATTTGCAAATAAAGTCACGGTATATTCTCTCTAATACCCTAACAAACCTAGCGACTATATATCGATAGCACTACCCTTAACCTCAACCATCACCTAAACTAAAACAATTTGAGCTATGTCTATGATCAAAACATTTCCGTTACTAAAAGACATCAAGCCATACAAACAGGGATGGCGAGTCCAAGTTAAGTTGCTTCACTCCTGGAGGGAGAAAACCAATTATGGAGGAGATATCATTGAGATGATCTTCGCAGATGAAACTGTAAGATTAATTTTATACGTTCTATGTTCTGTTTTTTTTGTTTATGTACTTTATGAAATAAGTAACTATGTCTATGTACAAAGTTTTATGATCTGTTTTCTTTCAGGGTGTTAAGATACACTGTTCGGTCAAGAAGACTCTCATTAAAACTACATAGAGTAAATTACGGCTTGGTAAATGGCGAGTCATAGACACATTTACAGTGTCTCACGCAAGAGGAGAGTACTGTCCCACAGACCATACTTACAAGATTTCTATCATTGAAGACACTTCTATAGACCAATGTACTTTTGAGTGTGATGATGAGTTCCTGAATTTTCCTTCTTTTTAAAAGATTGGAAATGGAACACTTAATACTCACTTCCTCATCGGTTAGTCAGTCGAAGAGATTTTTTTTTCACAATATATGTATATGGTACTAATATTAACCCGCACAACTAATTATTTTACAGATGTAATTGGTTAAGTGTCAAGTCTTCATGACATCCAAACTGTCCAAGTTGCTGGGAATAATAAGAAGAAACTTTAATTTTGCTGATAGGACAATAAGTAAGTAAATCATGATATTATTGTGGATTTTTACTACGCTATATATTATATATTGTTTCAGATTGATTTTTTAATAACTTAATATTTCAGGGGTCAGAGCATTGCATGTTGTTTGTGGGGTAATACATCTTCAAAGCATCTCCAAAAACAAATAATCCTGATATGGTGTGCATGATCCGCTTTGCTAAAATTAGGTTTTACACATATTAAATAATTTATCCTTTTATATTTTATATATTTATATGTATACATGTATACACTGTTAGAATATTTACTAAATGTCCCATGCTTATTTTGAGGAGAT